TGCCGCCCTAGGCAGAGCTAGCCTTACTGTTAGCCCTCTTGGCTCGCTGGCACTTAGTTCAACAAGAGGGAGGAAAAGACCTGGGAGGCTCTGTTTTCCTCCCGAAAGCAGTCTGGTCGGAGCGTTGCTGCATGTTACGATTGCAATGCTCCAATACAGTTCTGTGCTCGCAGGAGGACTGGAGAGTCAGCCTGCAGCCAGAGGAGCTGCAGGCAGTGGCGTACATACCAGGGTCGCAGGGGTTGCGGCTGCGACCCGGTATTTACCCACAGGGCCAGCCTCTTCTCCTGGGGGGCCCAGAAGGCGGCCACCTCAGGGCCCCTCCGAGGTTGGCCCTGCTGAACCCGGCGGGCGGGCTGGCTGTCTGGGTGGCCGGTGCGCGAGGGAGCACTGTCCTCTGTGTGCTTCCTCTTCAGCTCCCTCGTGCACCGCACTGATACCGGAGCCGGAAGATGACATCTTCCGGCGCCGGCATCCCCTATGCATCCCTCGCGCACCGGCCACCCAGACAGCCAGCCCGCCCGCCCAGCAGCACCACTGGACCCCAGGGAATCCCCCCAGCACTCCAAAAGGTAAGGAGGCTGGGGGGATTAAATTTTGTGTGTGTGTGTGTGTGTCTGTTAGTGTGTGTTTTAGTGTGTGTGTTAGTGTGTGTGTTAGTGTGTGTTTTAGTGTGTGTGTTAGTGTGTGTGTGAGTGTGTGAGTGTGTGTGTTAGTGTGTGTGTTAGTGTGTGTGTGTTAGTGAGTGTGTCTGTTATTGGGTGTGTGTCTGCTAGTGAGTGTGTTACTGTGTGTCTGTTACTGAGTGTGTTTGATGTCTGTTAGTGAGTGTGTGTTTGTCAGTGAAAGTGTATGTTTTGTAAGTGTGTGTGTATGTATGTCTGTCGCTGAGTGTGTCTGTCAGTAAATGTGTGTGTCTGTTAGCTAGTGTGTATGCGTCTGTTCGTGAGAGTGTGTGTGTGTCTTCAGCATTTACCTTTCTCCAGCGTCGGACTCCCTTGGCGCTGGGGATCCCTCCGCTTCTCAGCTCCAAATGCACATGCGCGGCAAGAGGCGCGCACGCATTTAAACCGCCCATAGGAAAGCATTACTCAATGCTTTCCTATGGACGTTCAGTGTCTTCTCACTGTGATTTTCACAGTGAGAATCGCGGAAGCTCCTCTCTCAGCTGTCACTGAGACAGCCACCAGAGGCTGGATTAACCCTCAGTGAAACATAGCCGTTTCTCTGAAACGGCTATGTTTTCAGCTGCAGGGTTAAAACTAGAGGGACCTGGCACCCAGACCACTTCATTGAGCTGATGTGATCTGGGTGTCTGTAGTGGTCCTTTTAAGTGTGTGTGCATACCGCGGTCGCGGGGTCGCATCCCTGCAACCCCTGCGACCAGGTGCCCGCCGCCATGTGTTGCGGCCCGACCCGCACCGAGTAAACGAGGGGGGGTCCACGGATCAATTTTCGCACCGGGGCCCCATGGGTCATGTGTACGCCACTGGCTGCAGGCTAAAGTGAACATGCCACCACTGGACCGCCAGGGCTTGCAGCATCATGGCCCCCTGGTAAAAGGTAAGAAGAAGGGGAGACTTTAAGATAGATTTTAACATCTCACCCACCTACACACAGCATAGACCCTATGCACCCTTCACACACACACACTACACCCCTCACCCACACACACTGCTCCCCTCACACACACACACTGCTCCCCTCACACACACACACTGTCCCCCTCACAAACACACAGTCTGTCCCCCTTACACACTCACTGACTGCCCTCCTCATAGAGACTGCCCTCTTACACAGACTGCACCATCCCACACACCACCCTTTCACACACACTGCCCCCTCACGCACGCACTGCCCCATCACACACTACACCCCTCACACACTACACCCTACACACACACACAGAGACTGCCCCCTCACACAAGCACTGCCCCCTCACACATGCACTTTCCCATCACACACTACACCCCTCACACACACACTTCACCCCCCCCCACACACACACAGAGCCTGCCCCCTTCACACATGAACTGCCGCCTCACACACTACACCCTTCACATAAACACAGAACCCTTCACACACACACACTGCAACCTTCACACACATTACACACTTCACACAAACAATACATGCCTCACCCACATGTAGCACCCCTCGTACACAGCACGTTTCAGACACACACTGCATGCCTGACACACACTGCATGCCTGACACACACTGCACCTCCCTTACACACACACACACACACACTATAACATTCACACACACAGCACCCTTCACACACACAGCACCTCACAGACACACATATATAAAAGTAGAATACAAAATACAAAAAAAGGAAATAATAGATAAATTTAAGTACATATTAAAATCGCACTATTCAATGATTAACTGCATCACTGGTGGTCGGTAAGGACATTTTACCATCAGCAAATATAAAAAAGTGGGCCCGTAGGTATTAAAAGGTTGACTACCCCTGCACTAGACAGTGTCACACTGAGGAATGGGTGGAAGCAATTAATAAGGACTGTACCTCCCCCACCCCCCATAATAGAAATGGAAGAAAACACCGACAATATTTTTCATTGTTTTCAATAATATTTATTGCACAAATTTGTAGACTGTATATCAACTTGAAAAAAATGGAACTATGAAAAATAAATTAACTTAGAAATAAATTCAATTTAAATAATTAACATTTACGTAACAGCTAATAAGCTTTCTTTAAACAAAAAAAAAACACAGATCCAAAGTTACCACTCAGTCTATTCGGCAGAGGTAATTTGCAATGATTCACATCCGCTGCCTTCGAGCCTTCATTTCTGCAAATTTATCGATTACTTCATCAAAGCCAATCTTCGTTGCATATTCATGCTTAATTGAAAGTATAGCCAGATTTGTCAACCTTGTCTCACTCATGGTTAAGCGAAATAATTTTTTTTTATCAATTTTAATTTGGAAAAACTTCTTTCACATGAAGCAATAGACACACGCAGAGTCAAAAAGAATCTTAAACACAGTGACAAATTTGGCAGAGATTCATAATAATCCCATTTAACAATGAACTCCAGGAACTGCAATGCCGTCCATTTCTTTGCTTCTTCAACACTGATCTTTGCAGCTTCCAAATACCTCTGAAGATGTTCAATTTCTCTAAAGATGTCTTCATTAGAGAATTCGTCAAAAATCTCAGTCAATTTTGGGGTATAATTACGAATATCTTTCTCTGTTGCCACAACCAAAGAATTTGGCTGAATAACAGCAAACATGAAAGGATTTTTTCAATTTCCTGGGAACGAGTTTCCAACTCGTGATGAAAACGATCAAGGCACTCAAACATAGCCCTTTTCATTTCCTCTGGCAATGTGAGACCAGCGCCTTCTCTCCTGGCATTGTTTTACGGAGCTTTACTCTCCCTCTTCTTTCCATAGAAATGTCCATTTCTTTACACGTAGTAGTTGCATAACAAATGGCCTTCTCCACAATTTCAGTGCGCTGATCTGCTAGAAATGCTTTCAAACCTTGTAGTTTCACAATGCACTTTTCAAGAGTGAGTCCCGCTGTTTGCAAATATTTCTGTGTGATATTAACTTCTTCTAGAACTTCACACCAGAAAGAAAGGTAACACAAAAAAAAAAAAAAAAAAATCACATACGGCAGACAGCAACATCTGAGCCAATCCTCTTGTGTCCACATTTTCTTTGGGATTACACAATTTTTCAAGGGCTGAAGTCAGTTTTTCAAAATTTGCCCTCACTGGCTTCACAGCATCATAATGAGCGCTCCATCTTGTTTGGGAAAGTCTTTTCACTGTCACACCTAAATTCTCTATCAGCAATTCCCAACGATGTGTAGAAACCGCAAAAAAGGAATACACTCTCTCAAATGTTCCAAAAAAGGTCACACAGGAAACAATACTTCCAAATGAGTGCACCCAACATAGGTTCAGGGAATGGTTTGCACATGGCATAAACAAAGCCTTGGGATTAATCTCTTTTATTTTTGCCTGAACACCACCATGAATCCCTGCCATAGTTGCAGCATTATCATATCCTTGACCATGGCAAAGGCTTATGTCTAGTCCATCTTCCTCCAGATGTTGCAGGATATTTTCTGTGAGCTCAGCAGCAGTCTTTTCACCAACAGGAAAGAAGCCCAATAATGATTCCTTTACTTCAACATTGTCCCCTTCAATATGAACATATATGATCACGTCACACATCTGATCAGTGTGGGATACATCAGGGGTGCTGTCAAAAAGAATCCCAAAGTACTTTGCTTTCTTGATATCAGCCACTATTTTGTCCTTCACATGATTTCCCAAAAGACAAATTAATTTGTTCTGAATTTTTGGAGAGAAATAGGAAGCCATTCTCTTTCCAGATGCAACAGCATGTTTCAGCCTCATGAAATGTTCCTTTAAATGGGATCATAGTTTGAGAGCAATTCTACCAATTCCAGGAAGTTGCCTTTGTTTGCGGATGGCATGGTCTCTCTATGACCACGAAAGGGAAGATTCTGGTGAGCCAGAAACAAAGTTACATCCAAAAGGCGATGCAAATTATCCCTCCATTTCCTTTTCTCTTTGTCCACTGTTGTTTGATGGACATGAGCAAGGCATTTTTGTAGCTTCAATCCTGCTCTCAAGGTCTTCCATTTCTCCAAGCATGTAAGATGCTGCTCAGAATCCTCATGATCACACACTTTTGGGTTCAGCTTCCACCACAATTGAAACCCAGTAACAAAACTGGATGTCCCTGTTACTTTGTCTTCAACAGCAAAAAGTCTGCAGCAAAAACAAAACAAACTTTGTTTTGATGGAGAGTACACCATCCACGTTCTAAGAATTGTTTCGCCATTAGGCAGAGCCTTATAGAACCATGCAGTGGTCAGCTGTCGACTCTTCCCTTTTGATTTCTCTCCTTGCCTTTCAACAGGACTGAATGGCCCATCTCTATTTTGGAAAGGTTCACTTCCCCTCTTAATAAGGTCCACTCTTAAAACATCTGGAACTGGAACTGGCCAAGCAGCAACATCAGAATAAACAGTCGAACAGTCTCCTCTTCTTCTTCTTCATCATCATCATCATCATCATCATCAGAGTCTTGCTGATGCAGGCTTCTGCTGGCATCTCCTTCGTCTACATCGCTTTCACCGCTTGAAGATAAAATGATCTTCTCCAATTCTTGCACTTTCACATATGAAGCTTCTTGAGAAGATACTTCAGGCATTTCACCTCTGGATTCAACAGACTGAATGTCTTCAGCACTTTCTCCTACTGCGGTAGATGTTGAAGGTGCAACATATTTTAAAATAGATCCAGACATCGCCTCAGCTGACTTTTTTCTTGCCTTCTTAATTTTTCGTTGCTGAGACCCGCGCGGCCGATTTCGCTTCATATTGGTGTTTTCGGCAGAAAAATCCTAACTTTAAGTTGGTTCTAGGATTCGCTAGTGCTATATCCATCTTATATTTCCCATCTTGGCATACCATTTGTAAAAGTAGACAACCCCGGGTATTTAAAGGGACACTATAGTCACCCAGACCACTTCAGCTCAATTAAGTGGTCTGGGTGCCAGGTCCTCCAGATTTTAACCCTCCAGATGTAAACATAGCAGTTTCAGAGAAACTGCTATGTTTACATAGCAGAGTTTATCCAACCTCTAGTGGCTGTCTTCCTGACAGCCGCTAGAGGCGCTTCTGCGACGCTGGATGCAAAAATCACATCAAGCTTGCAGAACGTCCATAGGAAAGGATTGAGACCTCTCCTCCCCCTGCCGATGTCAGATCCGAATGCGCATGCGCGGCAAGAGCTGCGTGCGCATTCAAACTGCCCATAGGAAAGCATTACTCAATGCTTTCCTATGGACCTCCAGCGTCTTCCCATGGTGAGTTTTACAGTGAGAATTGCGGAAGCGCCTCTAGCGGCTGTCAGTGAGACAGCCACTAGAGGTTGGATTAACCCTCAGTGAAACATATGTTTTCAGCTACAAGGTTAAAACTTGAGGGACCTGGCACCCAGACCACTTCATTGAGCCGATCCTTAGAAATAGCATAGGAAAGGGATTTGGATTCAAAAGATGTAGCGGCTAGGGCAGAGGATTTGTAGAAGGGGGCCAGGGCATGGGTTTTGTATAAATGCGCCAGTTTTGTAGAAGGGGGAAGACCAGTGCTTTTGTAGAAAGGGGCTGGTGAGAAACTTCTAGAAAACTCCTCCCTGCCCCTTTCTACAAAGCCCCTGGTCTCGCCCCTTCTAGAAAACCACTGCCCCTCGCTCTTCATATAAAAACCCTGCACACTGATCACAGAAATTTCATACACTCCCTACACATAAAAACCCTGCACCCCGATCACATAAATTTCATACACTCCCTACACATAAAAACCTTGCACACCCCTTTTAATAAAAAAACCATGCACAACCCCCTTAATAAAAAAACTAAAACTTGCACAACCCCCCAATAATAAAAAACCCTGCACACCCCCCTTAATAAAAACCCTGCACCCCGATCACATAAATTTCATACACTCCCTACACATAAAAACCCTGCACACACCCCTTAATTAAAAAAAATCCTGCTCATCCCCCTTAATAAAAAAAAAACATGCACAACCCTCTTAATAAAAAACCCTGCACACCCCCTTAATAAAAACCCTGCACAACCCCCTTAATAACAAAAAACATGCACACCCCCTTAATAAAAAACAAAAATCTGCAGTGCACATCCTCCCTTAATAAATAAAATACTGCAAAAAAAAAACCTGCACCCCCCTTTAATTAAACCTACCCCCCTTAAATAAACCTTGTGACAGACCCATCCGTATGAACTAGAATTGCTGTGTTCGTCTGTTTTGCCGTTTGTATGAATTTCCCCATTCGTATGCCTTGTTTAAGGGAATGTACTTTTCTGTCGAACGGAACTACCGAAGGGACGGCCACCCAGAAGAGAAGTGTGCTGCTGGTTAACCTATTGATCCCAATTAGAACATTGCGGTTAACCACAGACACTTCTCAATTAAAACCGAATACAGGGTGGTCGTCGTTCGTATGTCGACCACGAGGCGGCGGCCATTTTAACCATGCGAAAGACCAGCGGTGTTCGACGGTTATTTCATGGAACTGAAAACAGACACTTTTTCAACCGAACACCTCTGAAGCCGTCGACCTCCCTTCTCAATCGACAGAAGTATGCGAACACCGGCCGTTCGAGAGGTTTAAAGGCACGAATGGACTTACCCCAGATAGCCTTCCCATGGAGTCAAAGCCCACAGTAAACTCAGTTCGCGTTTTACCCTCAAAGCGGAGCTTGGTCTCGTTACTGGGGGATTTTATTACCGGCGACTAGAGACTGCTCATTGGAATTATTTGCCACTTGGGAGATATTGGCAGTTCGTGTATTTGGAGCTTGTGAAGGGAAGGAGCCATACAGGTACCGTTCGGGAGTTTGGAGTGCTCCCTGGCTGGCGGTTCGCATGGTTATACTGCATACGCTACTAGACCACATTATTGCGAACGGGGAGCATTCAATAAACGGCGGTTTGTACCTTTATTACTGAAGGTACCGTAACAAACCTCCCCTGCGCTGCACCCCCCTTTAATTAATCCCCCCTTTAATTCTTTAATTAATCCACCCCCCTCTTTAATTAATTCACACACCTCTTTAATTAATCCACACCCCACCTTTAATTAATCTACCCCTTTCATTAAACCTCCACCCCCTTTAATTAATCCACACCTCCTTTAATTAATCCACCCCCCTCTTTAATTAATCCACCCCCCCTTTAATTGTTCACCCCTTTAATTAAACCTCACCTTTAATTCTTTAATTAATCCCCCTTTAATTATTTAATTCGTCCACCCCCCTCTTTAATTGAATCCACCCCCTTTGTTCGACCACCTTTACTTAAACCTCCCCGCTAATTCTTTGGGTATTGAAAATCACCTCTCAATCAATCCCCCCTCTTTGAATTAATCCACCTTACTAATCCAAACCACACCTCTTTAATTAATCCACCCCCCTCTAATTAATCCACCCCCTCTTTAATTAATCCACCCCCTCTTTAATTAATCCACCCCCCCTTTAATTAATTAAGCCCCAGACATAAAATAACTACTTACATTTTGATGATGCCTTCCTTGCCTCCGAGTCTGACCACTGGGTGCCTCACCACCCGGAAATGGATCCTTCCGCTGAAGATCCGTGAAGGCGGACTGACGGCGCTGCGCACGTCGTCATTATGTTGCGCAACGCCACGGCCCGCAACATTCCTCCCCCTCCTCCTCATACAAGAAGTAAGTCCCGCTGGGCCGCAAAGGTGCTGTGGCTGTGTGCAGCGTAATAATGGGGGGTGACACATGACACTGGAAGTCATGGCATCCCCCAGTCAGTGGCACCCACCCCCCCCCTCACATCCTCTTAGTAAGCCACTGTGCACAGGTGCACCAGCGCACCGGCTCGGGCCCGCTGTTGCTGGGCCACCGGCAGAATGGGAGCTCTGCACAATGCTGCTCCCCTCCTGCTGCTGTGTGTAGAATGGCCTAGCAGTCTGACTGGAAGTGCTCACTACTCTGCAGTCACTACACACACTACATCCACTACACAAACACACACTCTGCAGTCACTACACACACTACATCCTTACACAAACACACACTCTAAAGTCACTACACAAACACACACACACTTTGTAGTCACTACATCCACTACAAAAACACACACTCTGCAGTCACTACACACAGTGCTGTATCCTGGTTTTGTGCTGCCCTAGGCAAGACAAAACTCAGACATCCCCTACCCTCGTTCCACCCCCACCCAACCCTTCCCCCCGCCCCACCTTCTAAATACACACACACACACATTCACTGACAGATACGCATACACTAGCTAACAGAAACACACACACACACACACTAACAGACACACTCACTAACAGACACACTCGCTAACAGACACACTCGCTAACAGACACACTCACTAACAGACACACTCGCTAACAGACACACTCACTCACACACACACACACACTAACAGACACACACACACACTAACAGACACACTCACACTCACTAACAGACACACACTAACAGACACACACACGCTAACAGACCCACACACACGCTAACAGACACACACACGCTAACAGACACACACACACTAACAGACACACACACTAACAGACACACACACACTAACAGACACACACTAACAGAGACACATACACACACACTAACAGACACACACACACACACACTAATAGACACACACACACACACTAATAGACACACTCACACACACACTAACAGACACACACACACTAACAGACACACACACTAATAGACATATACACACACTTACTAACATTAACATATTGTTTTATTTATTTAACCCCCCCAGCCTCCTTACCTTTGGGAATGCTGGGGGGGAAGGGGTTTCCCTCTCTTTCTGGGGGTGCAGTGGCTGCTGGGCGGTCAGGGGGCGCTGGCGGGCGGCTGGCTAGGGAGCGATTCCGGCTCCCAGCCTCACTCTGCGGCGCGCGAGGGAGCTGAGCAGACCGCTCAGAAGAAGTGCTCCCTCGCCAGCCGCCCGCCAGCCCGCCAGCCCGCCAGCCCGCCAGCCCGCCAGGCTAACAAGACATTTGCCCTGGGCATTTGGGGGGCGGCTTTTTTTGCCGTCCAAGGCAAATGCCTTGTTTGCCTCGCAGCTAAAACGCCCATGACTACACACTCTACATCCTTACACAAACACACACTCTGCAGTCACTACACACACTACATCCTTACACAAACACACTCTAAAGTCACTACACAAACACACACACACTTTGCAGTCACTACACACACTACATCCACTACACAAACATGCAGTCTGCAGTCACTATACACACATTAAATATTTACACAAACACACACTGTGTAGTCACTATACATACACACTACATTGACTACACAAAGACACACTCTGCATTCATTATACACACACACTACATCCACACACTGGATTCACTAAACACTACATCCACTACACACACTCTGCATTCACTACTCACACACACACTACATCCACTACACAAACACAAACTCTGCATTCACTATACACATCACATTTAATACACACAAATACTACATCCACTACACAAACACACACACACTCTGCATTCACTATAAACAAACATTACATCCACTACACAAACACACACTCTGCATCTAATATACACCTCATACATTACACAAATGTACAATCTGCATCCACTATACACACTGCATCCATTAAACACACACCACATTCACTTTACACATGAACTCTGCATCCACTACACACATTCTAAATCCACTATACACACACCAGAATCAGTACAGACACTGCATCCCTGTGGGCAGACTCATGGGGGAAGCAGCACT